TCAATACAACTACTAGGCGCTGATATCCAAATCAACGAAACTGTCAGTGATGACAATCGCTCGAAAAAAAGGGTCTTTTTAAGGACCATCTAGCGCTAAGTATTGGTGAGGACCTTAGGGTGTGCCACTTCAATAGTGAAGGAATTTCAAAGTCAAAATGTGAAGTTTTATCAAATGTCGTGAATAAAGTAATGGTCGATGTAATCGCATTGCAAGAAACCCACACTGCAGTAGACGACGAGGATATAAGGAAAAGGGGATTCATACAAGTCTACCTGATACTTGGAGCAATACACCACAAGCAATACGGTGTGGCCACAAACATCAAGAAGATATTGATACATGCCAAATTCCTTTCGAAGATAACCAAGATGACAACATCCAAGTACTGGCTATATATATTTATATTTTTCCTATAACCTGCAATAGCAACCGTATATAAACAACTATTTCCTTCGTAAATCTTAAAATCCCTGTTTGAGCAACTCCCTGGGTCGAACCTATCGGGTCCAATTGTGAATCTAAACCATCCAGGGAGTCACCCAAACGCATACAAAAAAATTCATTCAAATCGGTCCAGCCGTTTAGGAGTAGTTCAGTACACGTACAGTAGGATTATATATATAAAGATTATGTTATGTATTGTTTCAGTTAAAGTTTGGTAGAGTTAATGTGTGTTAAAAGCTATACAACATTTAAAAAAAATGATGAAATTTTCAAAATATTTTGACTCTTTGTAAGTTATTTATAGAAATTAGTCTATTCTATAAATAACAACAAAACTTTATTCGTTGGGTCCTAGAGCTTGAAAAATACAATAGGTTCCTTATGTCCTCTCGAGTTGTCATTATAGCATTAACAGCTGATGCGCGCATATTCTGTTTTTGCAATATTATTGTACATTTTAGCAGTGTTACTTACCTGATTCATAATAAATAATAAATAATTTGGAAATATTTCTGACTTCAGTGGATGTGAACATATTTTTTCCGTTTACGAAAATGACTTTTGGCTGTTCGGTAATCCACGTTCTCCGGCCATCGGCGACGGTGCGACAGGTAGCCAGTGATGACGTTCCCCGTCATTCGTCAACCGTTGACGTGTGGTGATATTTTATCTGTCTCAAAAGGTAATGGCAGAAAGAAAATAAATTTAAAAAAACACACACATCATTGTAAAATTGTAATACAGTAATGACAATATAGGTACAATTTAAACTTTTGTCTAGTCGATATTCTATACATTAAAAAAATTTTAAAAAAACCAATAATTTACATGACTGAGTACCTAGACGGGTGTTCGTTTGCAAGACACATCATGCGGCGAATCGGATGATTACGACTTACGAGGATAGTCATCCGTAGCGTAGCTTAATGTTGCACACAATATTTTTTGTCTCAAAAATTAATGATTAGATTATCTATTGCTTTTTTCGTTGGAGTGTACTTACATCATAATATACATTTTGATTGCAAATAGCAAATGCTACTGGTCGCTTAAAATCTCGTGTGAAGGCCGTGGCCCCGGTATAATATGATGGATACCATAAGTTAGGTTAGCCGTTAGGTTGGGTTGCCTTCGATAATACCATAATAATATATTATAATCAGCCTATTTAAAAAGGGACGAAATTTCAATGAATTTTATTTTATAATTAGAAAAAAATACATATCGACGGATATCATAAATTATTTTTGTCAATATATTTCGATGATTATTTTTTCAAACCACTACGAAATAACTTAAAACATACCTACAAAATAACCACAAAATGTGATACAAGCTAGGTTAGGTTAGGTTAGCCTAATATTGTTAAGGCTTATATTGATAAAACGGACTTATCTCCTAAACAGCTGATAAGAATATTATATCCTTAACCTCTATTGTGTAAAGTTTATTCTTCATAGTAACATTATCACAAAAATCGTACGTTAGAAATGATAAAAATGTTTAACGAAAAAGACGACCATTAAATAAAACGCCTTGCATCCATAAAATTGACGAAATTAGTATTAAATAATTATAAAATTATGGACAGTTGTTATTCAATTATATTCTAGCAGTATTATACTCACGGGAGTGCAGTGTAGAGGTCTGTAATTGAATCTTCGCAATTATATTATGCGAGTTTATAGTGGAGTGTGGAGTAGTCGTGTCATCTGTTATTGTTTATGTATTGATATCCTTAAAATATATATATATAAACGAGTCTTATATGGCGATGATCTGCGTCTCTTTACAGCCATCTATAGTAGAAGGATTCATTGGAATAATTAGGGGGGGGGGCATATTGTGAGATAGGAGAAGATTTTTATGATTCGAGATTTTGCGGTAAAATCTTTGTTGTAATACATATAGACATACGTGATGGGCTTAGACTAAGTTTTTGGGTACTTATATGTGCAGTGTGCACATATATGGAGATGGTTGTGTATACTATATTGGTTAAATACTTACCAAAAGCTGAGGGCCATCCAGTCGTACACTAATCGATAGAAAAATTGCTTCCAGTGGATGAATGTTGGACGGTTTCGGTTGCCCTTAATAACTGCAGTGTTTTTTCTTATTTTCCAGATTATTCTTCTTGTGAGTCTTTAAAGTTTAAAGTGTTTGTCGATACAACATCAGTGGAAAAACTTCATATAAACCCACATATTGTTATGTGTATGGTACATAAACGTGTAAATTCTTGTATTTTAAGTATAGGTAAACGATTGTTTTATATAGTTTATATGGACAATACAGACGATGAAATATATTGCGTATGCTATATTGGTTACGACGGCTGATTCTATTCAAAACGTTCTGGTATCAGTCCCTCACGAACGTATACAACTATGAACAAATTCTGCTCGCGACTAAAAAACTCGAATAGTTGTTCGGTTTATTTGATGCGTATTCCTATGCCCTATTTCGGGTGTGAATATGCATACGAGTAACGAGTAAAAAAATATGGGGAACGGAAAATAAGTATCCAGAAAAAGGTCTCAAGGAAAAAAAGTATCTGAGGAAAAAAAGTCTCAGGGACAAAAAAAATTCATAAAACGGTTGAAATATATAGGTAAGTTCAATTTAGAACCTTTAAAATAAAACTTATACGAATACTCTGGTTAGGTTAGGTTATAATATGTTAGTTGTGTGAAAAATATAATAAATTAAAATATTACCTTACTGCTCGCTTATTATTTTTATTAGATTGTGGATAACGCTATACGGTGACATCTGGTAAAGTTTATAGTATAGTGCAGTAGGTGTGACAGACGTAAAAAGAGTACCCCAAACAGTGATTTTAAATCGTTAAAGGTTTGAAACAGTATTAATTTTTCACAAATGTAAATTTTATAATATTTGTACATAGGTTTTTTATAATTATTAAATTTTTTTTTTCTATTCTGTATACATTTTCGGATTATTTTTTAATAATATTATTGACTATGATTCAATGACTTTAAAAAAAAAAAAATATTTAATTATTAGCCATTTTTTTTTTAATATATCTGTTTTGTATTTTTTAGTTATTATATTTTGTAGACAGACTTATTTTACAACGAGGCTTTTTTTCCTGCTCTCTAACAATATGTAAATCTTCGCTATTAGGTACAGTACGATAACGTATTAGCTGCCAACTAGAAAACATAGAAGGGCGTCTGTGATAATAAACTACTAGTTTGCAACGGGCTTGTAAAACTATTAATTCATTATAATAATATATTAATATTATGATATTGTTTAGTAGCTATTTTAATATCATCAAATAAATGCATATAGGTATTTTATGTCAGTAACTACCTATAACTTCAATGCATACTTTTAGGGCAATTAGAATTTCATAGCAATAACATCTCGATTAAGAGCAGATCTCGGCTTCCTCAATTATCAGGCTTATTATAATAGAATGTTTGTATTTGCAGTAGTTAATAAAAGATATATTGTGTAAAAAAAAAAGCTGTAGTGTCGATATTGTAAATTATTGTTCCTCTTCCTGTCTGGCCGTGTATGTAGGTACTTACCTTCCGAGTGCGCGCAGATCAATTATAAATACATTTCTATATTGCTGTTGTTTAGTTTCACCGGATGAGACGCGAGTCCTTCGTCCTATATAATATTATTTATACAATGTATACAATATACATAATATACAGGGTGATTCACTAGTCAGTAGGGTCACTCGAAACGCTCACTCTCGTTTTTACTTTTATTGTGAATTTGTTCGGATTCTGATTTTCAGGATTTTTAAGTATTCTAAAAGACCATGATATTTTTTCAAATACTCATATAGTTATATATTTTTATTTCATCTAAGAATAGGTTCCCGTGGCGATAAAAATTTTGTTTTTCAAATAGGAACCACTTTTTTTTACACTACATTTTTAATCAGATGACTTAAAAAATCATATGGAGCAAAGGTTTTACTAAAAATATAATAGTTATAGATACATGAAGCCTAATCACTCAAACATTATTATTTTTAATTGTGATTTGGATACATCAATATTTTCGAAAAAAAAACATTTATATCTTCGTTTGAACAGCTGAAAATCAAAAACTGGAGACAGGTAGATATAGGGACACTTTTGAAAAAAATTTAGCTTACATCGCTACACCACATAAATGGTAAAGAAATCCAAGTATCTAAAAATATGGTCCTTAAGTAAACTAAAAGTTGTTAAGAATGAGAATTCCTACAACCCCTCATTTTGTAAGCATAAAAGAGAGGGTGGACGGTGCTCATCTCCCTTTAGCGTGCTGGGTAAGCACCCTGTATATATAATATTGAAACAAACGTATTTTCGAATTATTCTGTTCTATAATAATACATACGCTCAAATGCGTCGTTTGCAGCAGGAAACGACTGTTCGGCTTCGAATCGCATTCGAGTGTTTCTATCGATAAGATTCGGGGATTTCTGTCGACCAGACAACGGGGTGGGAGGCGGTCGTGAAAAACGCTAGAGAAACGCGAAAAATATTCGCATTGCACTGCAGTTGTAAACACCACCGACAATAGTGTACGCCACCGACTTTGCAACAATAATAATAATAATTTAATACGAATATTATATTCTTTTAAATCGTTTGTTATAATAATAATTATATAGTAATACATTTTAGTTAACATGACGTATAACGATGTGTTCGAGTGTGCAAGTGTAATATTGTGTATATTAATTATATTAATTAGGGGTGCAGTGACATTATGATGCAATTATAAACTACGCGTGGTTTGTATTTATTTTTCACGAGACATTCTTTGACAAATTTTAGTAACACGCATCTTACCCCCGAATACTGACCGGAAGGTGTAACAGAAAGACCCGACAAATAAAATAACTTTTGTTCTATAATCAATATTTAAAATTGTATAGTTATGTTTTTGTGGTTTATAGACGTTCGTGCTACAAGTACGGTATAAAATGATTATTTTTTTTGAAAAATTCAAAATAGCCAATTTATAAATCTAATTAAAAAAATCGTAATGTTAAAAACGATCGTTTAAGTCAGGTAGTTTATTTTCGTTGATACGTTTATCCTATATCGATTTTTAATTGCTCATCTGTCAGGTCTTTCCATTACATCTATATTATCACACGTTTAAATTAATACAACAGTTCTGTATCGTGCGTAGAACCGACAGCTGTGAGATTCACAATTAGGTACGTAGCATAGTCAGAGGTATACACACGGCCCTTTGGACAAACTTTCAACATCTGATAGCAGCTTTACGGACAAAGTACGAGACCTAATCGCATTTAATAATACAGGTACGAAAAATGAACGAAAAATGTATAAGAATTAAAATCACGTCGGGGTAAGTACCAGTTATACATTTTTTCTATTCTTCATTTATTGTATTAGTACAATATGTAATATTAGTTTGTACACTAAGTACATTCGGTGTCAACGATTATTTTAGACACACCGTACACCTCTTGCAAATAGCGAAGGTTCTCAGTTTAAAAACAAAAGCTATATCTATAGTACCACCACAACATTCCTTAAGAAGGTAGTACAAAAATCTCAAACATTTTAAAATACCATCTTAAAGTATAAATATTATAATATAGTATATTATATTTAAAAAATCCAAAAATCACAATTTGAATATAATATTCACTATTAAAGGAAAAAATTGGTGAGTGTTCGATGAACCGCCTTGTACCCGTGTGGTATCTCGCACTAACTAAAATATTAATATAAATTAGAATTAATCAAAAATTAGAAAATTAAAAGTTATTGACAATATTATATTTCTAGGAGATAGTGGGATAGTGGGTTTTATTAAAAAAAAATTGATTTTTAGATGTTTGATAGATTATATTTTTATAATGATTGAAAAAATAATAACCTAATTAAATATTTGTAGTATTTTCATGAAAATAGGTTATACATAAATATATTCGTACTAAGGTTATGTAGAGTATAGAACTATAGAAAATGGGTTTATAATTTTGTTGAACCTAGATAATTTAATTCGATGAGTATTAATAAGTATTATTTATTATTTTATTATTTTATTATATTATAAATTATAATGATGTAAATGTACGAATATTTTCTAGAACTTGCCATGATTTTAAGTAATGCAGTTATTATCATAATTATTTTTACTGTTTACCAAAAAAAAACACATAAATCGAAAATAATTGGAGGCCGAATGAAAAAGATGAAGAGGAAATCCGTGGTAATTGAAGCCGTGGTTTCGATATTGATGTGTTCAGTCATCAACGATGGTAACTTCATTTATTTACACTTACAATTAGATGCATTAAAATTTCAAATAATCTTAGCACAACTATTTTAATAATAGCGATATTTTTTTTCTCGACTAAATTAGCTCCGGATAATATTCTTTTTCTCCTTCTTCGCCTTGTGGGACCATTATTGAGTACCATCGCTGTCATCACAAATCCTTCCCATCTCTCTCTGTCGTATTCCAAATAGTTATAACCCATTTCTCTCCGTTTTTCAAAAAGGTAAATTTTCAAATGGCGCCCGTTGTACAAATAATACGTCAATTCCCAAACGGCTCCTGTTTTTGACAACATAAATCCCTTACCACTTCATACACGTCTCAAATAAATGTGTGGTTAAAACTGTGTAAGGGGTTTTGAACATTTTATATGCTGAGAAAATTATAAAGAATTTTTGTTGTTTATGGGAGCCGTTTAAGAACCAGCAGACAATGAATGGGAGTCGTTTCGGTTGCTCTGCGCGTGGCACTTCTTGTTTTATTTTATATCTTGAGTCCAACCAATGATCATGGATAACCCCAAGGTTTATTTTGTTAAGCAATATTTCTTTTATTAACAATATATTATTATAATAATATAATAATCCCAATACATTGATATCCCTCGACAATTTCGTTTGCAATTATACTATTATAATTGTATTGAAATACTGCATAATTTACGAAACGCTGTGTTACCTACAACGTCGTTTCGTGCTATTAAGTATTACTTATCGCTTTTACCCAGGATATGTACGAAAAACATATAAATTCAATTGTTCCATGGATCGCGGTGTATTACTGTTTAAACAAATCAAATTGATTAGATTAACCCGAATAAGAATAATTATGCTATTACCAAACATTCGAGGAATTGTATCGATGATTTGTTATTTTTTAACAATATATGACGTGTTTATTGGGATGTGTATGTGTGTGTGTGCCGATTGATTAATATCACACCATCTATGTACCTACACAAAACATGGCACATAAATATTATCATACCATTTTATTCCAGTTGAATTGAAACCGTCTTCAATTCGTTACGAGTGTATATTATAATAAATATTTAACCTTAAATATAAATAATAACTACACACTGCATTATTTAATGGACATTCACGCTAAATGATTGTTTTGTGTGTGTTTTTTATATTCAGTACTTACTATTTTAACAATACCGATAATTTATTGTAAAAACAGTTTCAGGCGTATTTTTCAGTTCTAGTGATTTGACTTATTGGAGATGCAAATTCAAACAAACGTTTCAGTGTCCGGATCCAGACGTGACATTTTACTTGTACACGAGGTGTTTTTTAAAAATTTTTGTATTTTGATAAGCGGGTGAAACTCACAGCATACGATCTAGTGTCCGATTTCAAACGTTTAATTTACGGTTTATTAAACAATACTTATACATGTATTCTTATTATGTGTATAGTGATATCAGGAGAAGGATTAAAATCGATTTGAGAGACAAGTGGTCGTTGTACAACAGTGGTTGGAACCCAAATAAAAAGAACGTTATCGTCATACATGGGTTTAACGGAGCGGAAAATAATAGGATCATGGCCATACTGAGAAACGGTAATATCTTTTTTTTAATCTCGTTTGAGTCAAAAATATTATAATAAAATAATATAACATAATATCAAATACTAAGTACCTATTATTAAACGTATTATGTTAGGTCGGGTCTGCGGAGCCAGCGGTGTTTGACAGTGTTTATAATAGTTTATTAGTTTTACACACAACATATAAGTCTCCTCGATATAATAATATAATTAATGGATTAATTAACCTCATATATGTATTTTTTTTTTTTACTATTTAATTATTTACCCAACATTTAGGGACACACTTAAATTTTCCTTCAGTAAGTAATTTTTTTCTTACAACCCTGTTTACTTTTAAATTTGTATAAGTTTGCGCTAAAACGTGTCTTTTGTTATACGTCTCAACGTGTTTTTATAAATGCTACCAAATGTGTTTAAAATTGTCGGATATATTTTTGATAACACGCCATTAATCATAATATTATGATTTGGTTTGGGTTTTTATTTCTGAACCCAATAAATATTTGGTTCTATAAGGCAGTTCGATCAAATTAAGTGTAACTGTCTATAATCTATATAATCAGTCGCATACTTAACGATGTAATAATAACATCTCATATTAACCTTCCTTGTATATTATATTAGTTAGAGTAGCATAGGCGGCAGGCGCAAATAGTGTTAGAGATTTTGGGGGGAGTCTGAAGATTTTTGTATAGAGGTGAAAATATTTCCATATATTCTAATAGACGGGTGTGCAAAATCTTCTGATTTTTGTTTTTTGGGGGGGGGGGAGGGCTATCTAATGGTTAGGAGGGTTTAGCCCCCAATCCTCCATTGCTATTTGAGCCTGTAAGTAGTGGTAGTATCTTATTCGTAACGGCAATGATAAATACCTGTATACACACTCACTCAAGATTGTCGTATACTGTATCGGAATCGAATTTTTAACATCGGAACCGAAAAGAATTTTGTCGGCACACAAGTGTCGGAATAAGTCAGGACTTCACGACCGTATACTATATAAGTAGATTTTGTTATTGATACTCGTGAATGACGTTCGTAATACTGAGCTGTTTATATTTATTGGTATCAGCTTTAAATAATATATAATATCATGAGTTAAAAAAATGTCAATTATAGTGAAAAGCAAGCCGTGATTTTAACTTCAGCTTTCTTGACAGAAAAAAAGAACCTGATTTCTTAAGTTCTCTGCAATTTATAGCCAAGCATTATTCTTCAATATTTAGTCATAAATCATAGTAATATTTATGGCTTAGAAAATATTATTAATACGCCTGTGCTTTTATTGTCATTCCAATAAATCCACTAATCCCATATTGGGGGAAAAACAGATATGAAATCGCATTGAAAAAATATTGTAGAGTAGATTTGTATAAAAACATTTTTTATGTACATGATTGCGTGAAGGCCATGTAGCATATACCTTTTATGAAATAGACTGATAATAGAGAAAGAGGCCAACATTTTTAGAAAAATATAGCATACCTATACACCCACTTTAGATCTCATCATATTACCAAGGTATTGAGAAACTTTTTCTTCTAAAAATGTTGGCTCTTGGCAACCAATAGCTGATATAGGATTTGCAGTCCACAAATTAATATGTCTATGATTAAATGCACACCTTTTAAAGACCAAGTAATGAAATTAAATATGTACGGACATCGAAAACAATAAATAGGTTTATAGGTACCTACCACATATTGAGAACAAAATGTTTAAAACTTCATGTTTGTAAGTGCGTGTATAAAATATTCTGCAAATGTACAAGTGATTGTGTACAGAACACCCAGGGAAACGTCAAAATATTTTCATCCAACTATTAGATTCGGTTCCGATACAATCTGACGCTACGTGTCTGGTCTAGTGTAGTAGTGTACGGCAAAACTCAATTTTACTATCGTAAATCGTACAATCATTGAGGTACATTTTTCACGCAGCCTACTTGATGCGTGGAGACTTTAACGTGTTTATGGTGGACTGGAGTCCATTGACGGTGTACCCCTGTTACCTGTCGTCGCTGAGAAACACGCGATTAGTGAGCCAGTGCACCGCTCAACTTTACGCCCATCTCACTTATTCGGGCGCTTCTGCTTACCGAATACACTGCGTCGGCCATAGTCTCGGGGCCCACATATGCGGCATGATTAGCAACCACTTGACGGAAAGACAGCACAAGATCATCGGTGAGTATAATTAGAATATTAGTATTGTCATAATGTATACGATGAACGTGATGTTGGGTTGATTCGGATTGAGGCAGCTTCTGATGTATACCAAGTGTATTGTTAGTGAAGTGTATATTCAATAAAACTGGGTTGAAAAAGCCACACTGGAGGTAGAAGGGTCGTCGACGGTAAAAATATCATCTGGGATAGTCTGCAACCATAAGCTCAAATTGTCTAGAACTTTGGTGCTGAAGTAGGTACCGAAAAAAATGTACAGAGAAAAATAATGTTAATTAGTTAAAAATTACTTATACCGCATCTATTACTGTGGAGCGGTCTGTAACTCTTGACTTGTGGGCGATATTAAGACTGTAAAACCACCCTCTTTTTATTACCCTTTGAATACTTGTGATTTGTGCCATTTCGACTCCAATTTGTAGGATGAAATACATAAAATCAAGTACCCAACTATTGTCATTACTCATTACTCACTCATGAGCTCGTGAGTTTGTCGTTGTAGGTATATAATAAATAAGATATAGTGTCATAACGCTTGAGAAAATGTTATTTTTTTAATAATTTGAGGTGGATCAAATTCGAAAATCTTATGACAATCTCAATTAAATTAATTTTATGTCAGCCCTACTACCTATTTAATGTCCATATATATCAGTGTCAGGGTAATATTTTAATATATCTACGTAAATAATTATAAGCTATAGTAATGTACAAAATTACCATTAATAATTAAAATGGAAGTCGTTGAAAACTATATGACAGATGCATTTCTTCTACTGACCCCAATACGCGTTAACTAGAAAATAATGATCAACGGAAGTAGATAATACAATTTTCAAGTCTTAACCGCGCTGCTGCGATAGGCACAACCGTCCTGATCAACATCCTGCAATTTACTCGCTCAATACATATATATTATATTATAGCATATATTTATTGTTTATTATGATTTACGAATAATTGGATTTGACAAGCGAGTAGGTTCTTAAGTGCACCACTTTTGTTTTCACTAAGGACTCCTTCATATTCGTTTACTTTTGCAGGAAACAAAACATTTTTACAATTTATTCGTATCGAAATGCGATATTAAAAAAACTGGGGAAATCGCTCTTCTACATAATTCTAGTCGTCGAGTGTACCTCGTCATTGAGTAGGTCATTGTAACGGAAGTATTAAATTATTGCATACGAAAAACAATTCTGAGTGGAAATGGTCTTTTATATTTCTTATTTCAAAGTATATTTAATTATTTTATATTTATACTGCTAATATCAATCTATTTTTATATTATAGTGATAGGTGCACTAATGCAATTCGGTAGGTGGAATTATTTTTTTCCAAAAACAAATCGCGTTCATTAAATTATATTTATCATCATATTAAAGGGTCCATGTATAAATAGTGCAAAAAAGGGCAAAAATATTTTGAAAATTACACAAACTCTAGAAAATGATGAATTTTGAATTACAATAAAAAAATAATTAAATCGATTTTTTTGAAAACTGGCTATGGGTAAAAAATTGTTTTTTAAAAGGACTGGAAACTTTTTACCCCAAAGTACCAACTAGATCCAATTTTCTACTAGAAACTCTCCTCAGAAAGATTATGGTCCGCAGGTCATGTTTAGAGGTGAGAAAGTAAGTCGATTACATTGTGTAAGAAACGCAACACACATTACGCGGTTGTGTGTTTAGTGTAGAATGTTTAAGGAAAACGTATTTATTTTAATTATTATATGCATGTACTAACGTTACAGGTTTAGATCCAGCCAAACCTCTGATAGACTTGTTTACGATGGACGAATTTCGATTGACGAGGGATGATGCTGATTTCGTAGAGGTCATACACACAAACTCTGGAGTTTACGGAGAGTATCCTCAAATAGGACACGTCGACTTTTCCGTTAACGGTGGTCGCATGCAACCGATTTGCACTAGCCAAGCAAACATCATACGTAATATATATATATATATTTGTATATTAGTTAACAAAAATATGCATTACTCTTATATATGGAATACAATTTACTTTGGAAAATACGATAATCAATCATAGGTGTAATTTAAAAAGAAAAAAAATTTAATAGTACCTATGTGAAATTGGCAGAGAAATTGTAACAACCATTGGGTCCAAATCTATAGTTTCTCTCAAATTATATCTTAAGGTATATATTATAATACAATTAATATATAGTTCATGTTAAATCGTAGGTTTATTAAACGGTTCTAAGTTTCTGATGCATTCGGTTTACTTAATTTTACCTGCGGATTGTTTATAATAAATAATTATACATAATATTAATAATAATGACAACAATAATAATGGTTATGCTTAGTTATACTTGAGTTATGTTTAGTTTTGTTTTGCATTATCAATTTTAAGTGAAAATGAAAAACAAAATCGTAATTGAAATATTTAAATATCCAAACTGTCAATAATATTTTCCTTGCCATTTTCATTTTATAAATATTTCAATTTATTATTCATTCTATCTGTTTATAAAATAGATTCCTCTTTATTGGGGCACATTGATTGCATATTATTTTGCCCCAGAATCCGAAATAAAAATAAGAAACATAACGATTTGTTAGTGGTTAGTTACTGATTTATTAAAAAATATAGATGATTATTTTTATAACATAATAAATATGTAATACACTGCACATGTATAGTTTCAATATAAAATAATACATTTTAATATAAAAAAAATACATACCTACTTGTTTATAAAAAAGGAGTTAAGAAACTTTACTCTGCGTAAGTGTTAAATTCTCAGTTTTTAAATATATTTTAATACAACTACACAATTAACTATAATCTCATATCATCAAATTTAAAAATAATATATTTATCAATCATATCTATCAACTGGTTACTGGTATGTATTGGTAACTATTGGGTGGACACAATTGGGATATAAGGTATTCTAAACGTATGTTTAGAAACCTAAATAGTACATTAGCATATTTTTATTTTATTTTTAGAAACAAAAAAGTGATCAATAAAACGTGTTTATTACTTTTCACTGATTGTTGACGAATGTAGTCTGAACAGACGTCCAAAGCACTATAGGGTTATAGATATAGACAAAAATGTCTCAATTATTCGGATTCATGACCCAGATAAGCGGTGAACATATTTTACACTACAAATTACAATCACAAGTTTATTTCGGTTCTTGAAGAATTGTCCCGATTAAGTGGGCGTCCTAACTAACCGGTATCTCCATCAAGCGGAGTCTACTAGTATAATGATTTTCAAATACCTTCATATAAATATTTCTTGGTTGAATAGTTGTGTTGACAGTTGTCACAAACGTGTAATTGCCCAAGTCACTACAGCTATATTGAACAATAAAAAGTATAGGTTAGTATAGGATGTATTTTCAACAAAATGTTTGGTTATTATTTTAAAAAAAATCGAAAGTAGCACAACCACTAAAATATTGTTATATGTGTCTCAGGTGGTAATTAAAAAAAAATGATTCAACTTCTTTTTTACTGAGTTGAGTTACTATTTTTCTCACATTGGCTTTAAACAGTTTAAACTTTTATTTATAAATACAAAATACCAATTACATTGATTATTAACTCGTATCTTCACATTCTTTGAACTAACTCCATCCCACTTCATTTTTTTCATTAATTTTTTGAACCTTCGCTTAGCAGATTTAGTGTTTACCCATGATAGACTCGGAGCGTTTCGTTTCGATTAATGACGTGAAAGGACTACAACGGAAACGCTATACTGCTGAACACGCGATGCTTTTGTGGCATTGACAAATGATTATATTAAACATACTGAAGAGAGAAAAAAGTTCATAAACGTTTCATACCTACCTCATAATTATAAATTATTATTATTATTTTAAACGTAGAGAGATCATATCTCGGACATTATCAATTTTTTCCTCTTCGTAAAAACGCGATGGGTGTTTAACGGCGGCAACTTCGGTTGGGTCATAATATAGGTATGTACTTACGATGTTTATCTATGAGATAAACGTAGAATATGATATATATATATATAAAACAGTGAAACATCACGATTCTCGTCTAAGGGGCCGTACGCATTAGTATAACATAATAATTATGTAGATCGTCGAAACACACCTAATTATGTGAGATTTAGAATCGTATGTTTAGAACACCGTAAACAAATTGAATTATTGTAAATCTTAAGACGCACGCAGCAGAGTGTTTCCGCAGAAAGTGAAGAATTTTTCATTTTTGTTTCCGATGAGTACCCGTTGATACCCGTCTAATATTCATATGTGTTTACCTATGCATAATATATAGTTTTATCTACGATATCGGCTATTTCAAGGCTAAAGTGGATGAGTGACAGTGGTTTCACTACTTTTCAGGAAAGCAAAAGCAAAACATTCTTTATTTTGGCTATTGGGCTTACTGGTTTTTAAAAAAGATTTAGGAATCATTAAGGTCGTAGTGTAATCCATATTATAATATTACATCACGGGCGCGCTTGAATACTATTTATTCAGAATACTGGATTTCATAAGTAATATTAATTAACAACAATTATTAAGTCTTCTCGTTCAGCAAATGTCATCAAAAAAAAACCCTCCGAAACAAATGAAATATTACATATTTTTTTATTGTGTCGTCAAAATTAAAAAATTTTAATTGATAAGCAACGGTAGTAAGGGCTGATATTAATCGGTTAGCTCTATCAACTTTTAAAAGAGTCATGTGTGCTCCAAAAAAATATATAAATTAAATATCTTGTTATTAAATGATCAGAAAAATGCTAACACTCGTCTTACTGAGCACACCAAAGCTTAAATTGCCCCTAAACGTCACTTTGCCAATTTTGTTTTTTATCGTTCGATGTGGTCTTATACGAAATTCCGTCAAACAAAAACGTTTAAAAAACAATAACTTAGATCCAAAAATTGAACTTTAAAGTTATACATATACTATAATATTATGCAAGATTGGTCTTAATGCATCACGATAATGATATTTTACGGTCTTGACCAAATTCCATGTATCAATGACGACACTATTTTTCAATAAATGTATGTTTAGAACAATCGCGATGCAGTCATTTCAAGAGTATTTGTTATTATGCATTGTCACTTTCAAAAAGGAGGAACATGTTTTTGGGTGTACAATGCACGGAAACCTGTGACTCGGTGGTGCTTCCGTCATTTTCGAACCGGATCGATGTCATACCTATGGGCCTACAAACGCCAGAATGGTAATTATTATTAGGGACTAGGGATGTTTTAAATTTATATATTATAGTTGTAATTGGTTGTGGATGAAGTTGTATTTTAGATAATATAAGAAAAATAATGTTTTATATTTACCATAACGAAATATTATATTAATTGTGGCTATACTTATTTATATATAGTTCTAAATTTGAAATATTTCAATAAAATTATGGTAAGTATTATAATTTTTTTTTAAACGCAGCCACGCAGGCACCTATTTGGTTATAGATGATTAGAAATGACATTGATTACACCGATAAAGTAATGAATGACGAAGGTTTAGGTAGTATTATGTTGATGGCTTTAAATGAAGTATATAAATGGTATACTTATCAATTGAGTCCGTATGTTAGCTGTTATTTATTAACTATTAAGAAGTATTCGATACAAATAACCAACTTTCAAAAATATACTCTTGCTGTAAGCTATGACTATTAACTTTTAGATATAATACACAATTTTTATATTTAAAATTCATACATTTCAATAAACACCCATACTATACATTGTCATCGAATTTTCAAATACCAATAAATGCAGCGTGGATCAATAATATAATTACACGACAATTAAAAGTATATTTTATAGTTAATTAATATTATATCCGTCACTTATCAGTGATCATGATATTATAATACGAGTACGTATGTGAGCCAATCGTAAAGTTAAATATAGAGTAAAGTTAAAAGAGAGAAGACATTCGTTTTTGTTTGGTCAAAACTGACATTTTAATACTATCATACACTACTTAAAATACTATGTAGATGTGAAACTCGGGAGCAATTGCTTTAAATACGTATACAATAAGTAACAACAAACAATTAAAATGGTCGATTTAGAGTTTAGACAATCAGAGCATGAAGGCAATGTGCATACGATCTGTGTGATTAAAAAAAAAGCCATTTTGACATGCGTATTTTATGTTTATTTTCATGTAGGCATACCTAGGCAGTGTTAAAAATGTTTTCTACGTTTTTATAATGAATTTATTTGGTTCGGGTCTGCTTCTCGTGTCCGGTAGTTATTCATACCTATATTATACGGATGCTGATATTTTTTCTCGTCTTAATGAAAAATATAGAATCGTTAGAGTTGTAGTATAATAATCGCATAAAATGAAATTTTTGAAAAAATCTCACATGCTCTAAATTATAGGCTTAATTTTTCATCTTTAATTTTCAATCGCCATTAGCTTCGTATTCTATTTCATTATGCTCCTAGCTACTTAATTGTTTTAAGTACCTACTGTATTATTATTTTAAATTAATTACACCGATTAAACCGTTTGTCAACTCAATTTCACCTGCAATTATGACGGCTAATGACTAATAATTAGGTATATAATATATTTAGAACCAAAAAATACATCATTCTTAATGCACTGATGAAAAAATTAAAGTTATTAAGAAGTTATTTAAAATCTATCAAAATACAAAAATGTTGTTTTTGGAGACGTATAGAAACAGTTATTAGAGTACTATTATACAAAGTGATTCCCCAACAACACTTTTCCATCTTTTACTCTCGAAATAATTTATTCACTTATTTGATTTTTGGTTCTTGGAATTTTTGTTATACTTTAGACCATATTTTCAAATACTTTTATTTCTTGAGCAATTTTAGAAGTGTTCTTAGGCATTAAAAACTTAATTTTTTCAAAATCAAAATTCAAAAGAGTAGTTTATGAGTTTATTTTATTAAATTTTGTTTAATAACATTAAGTATATATAATATCCTTAATAATGGATATCCTTTTAAATATTATTAGTATATTATAGTATTAAAATAAAATTGATTACATATATTTTAGTCTTGTGTAATGATTAATGATCATTGATCATACATGGACAATTTTTACAAACTACATAACTTAAATGAATTAATAAATAGTAATATAAGGTATTGTACCTATTATTAATTTTAGTAATAACTAATATTATAGTATTAAACCTAAATATAAATAGTCAAATCATCATATCTTCTAAAAATTTTACAGTGAACGATTATCCTTAGTACCTTTACAAAAAGTTTAAGAACTCAGAACTTACAGGTTCGAATTTTGATTTATTCACATTGACATTTTCTAATGAATGGTGTGATGCTAAACAATTTACAGCGAAAAAGCACAGTTCTAGACTGCAAAAAGATAAGTTTGTATCAACGAAATACACTCCACAATAACATAATAAGTATAATTTTTATAAAAAAAATGCGTTATTAAAAGAAATTGGATTGAGTGTGCTTGGGAATCACTCTATTACTGTACTTAAAATATCTTTTACTACCTATGTATTATTATAATAATTTATAATGCGTGTACGTAGTAAATTCGAAATTACGGATGTATATCATTATTTTCATATTTTTTTTTATTGTTTTTGAAATAACCACGAAGACAATAATTTACCATGTATAAATGTCCAAATACGAGTTTTATTGTTCACAGCTGACAATTTTGTGTTCTCGTTTTTACGTATTTTGTGCCTGAATGTAAATCAAACAATTGTTATTATTAATTATTATGTAGTATTTCTCTATTTTTTTTTCTAGATGCTTAAATAGTTGTTTGTGACTTTAAATTAGATAGACAAAAAAAGTGATAGTTAAATATTCTAGTTTGTAAGGACCTATCTACGTCATATAGCAGGCAGCAGTAATAACATGAACGTATATTAAGGTCATTGCGTTAATTTAGAAAAGATTTTAGGTATGTGTTTTCAGTGGCAACTTAAACTTTTTTTCCTCGACTCACATTTAATATGTTTTTACATCACCTGCACTAAAAATTGTTTCAATGCTCTCCAAATATTAAGTTCATAGGTTGTTAGTGGGTAAATAATTTAAAAAAATTCTTCAAACTACCTTTTCCAACCCGAGAACACTCACTCATTAATATTTTTGTAAATCACTTGATTGATAATTATACCTCCTTCGAGCCACCACTGCTTGTTTTTAATCCCAATTTTGGAATCAGTTGGTAAGCTAAAATAACGATGAATATTAAATTATTAATTTATTACCTATATGTAAATTTTAAATTTTAAATATTAAACTGCAGTTTATTTTATGTTCTAGGGTTAGAGGGTCATTTTACGTCGCATATGAAGATCCAGACAATTTTTGTCGGTTTGACGGATAGTAAAGAACACATTAATTATAAACGAAAAGTACATAAACAATTACATGTATATTATGCAATATAGATAAACTTGCCTAATGGTAAGATTTGCTATTAAATCAATTATAATATTATGTATAGTTTTCTATTACCTTATATTGTACAAATTGACTAGAATGCAACAATATAATTATTATTGTTGGATTTGTTATGTCTGATTGATCATGATGTATTATTATTTATTATGATAATATATTCAATATTTTATAATTAATATTATTTTTTCTAATACGTTGTAAGTTGTAACCTAAACTGTGTGTCATATCATAAATTATTTACTTACATCATAATATTTAAGTTCATCTTAAAATTATAAATAATATGTTATGTTAAGTCCAAGATACTCATAAAAAATAACAAAGAGTTTAAATAAATTGTATTTATTTTAAATTATACTGTAATACATTTTAAGAAAAACATGGTCCAATTTATATTTTTTTTGTACAATAAATAGGTATATATTTTTTTTTATTATTTTTTTTTTTTTTATTGACATCGAATTGATATTGTAAACTATGGCCATTAGCATTTTTGTCTTGGAGGGGGGGTTGGGGGGGGAGTACTGTTGATTTTACGAAGGATTTGTCATTAAAAACCTAGGGGCACCCATCCAGGAGCTAACAACGCCTGACGATGTTTGATCGCAGCATTACACTATTCAGCACACATTAATGACTGCGGCCAACCACTACGCCACACCTGCAGGTCACAGATATATTTTCTTATATATAAAATACATATTTTTACGTAATATAATAATAATATAATTAATAATATATATATATATTCATACGTAATATGATTATTAATAATTTATACAGAGTGTAACACAAAGTACGCACTTTTGGAATTTAGCAGCGTCTTTTTTTAATTTTTGGGTTTTTGGAAGAGGTCGTATGTCAAATATTATTGTTCATTGTTAAATCGGAGAAGTTGCTAAATATAAATGTATTAAGAAATTAATGCATTTTCGTTAATAATATTTCTGCAGATTTATTCATTTTTTTTTTTATGTGCATACTTTATGGGACGCTATATAATACGTTATTGTGATAGTCTTTTAAAATACTTTTAAGTTTTAATACAGTCATAAGATGGACGTATATACCTACATAAAATGCATTGGTGTTTTTTTGTTAACAAATATTTTAATTTTTCACTTATAATTGGAATATGTACTTATTTGTTTCGAAGCGATTTTGGAACAAAAACTTGACTTCCGAGAAAACCTCCACGCCGCACGTAAAATAGTCAGACTTCAATAATTTATTTTATTTAAAAGTTGAAGACTTTATGTGTAAGTTGTGGAAACCACGATTAAAAAAAAATCTATTTTCAAAATATGCAATGGATGTCTAATGTCTACGTATCACAAATAGCTAAATATTTTGAAATGTATTTTTAAGGCGTTATTTAAAGTTGGTTAAAATATTTGAATTCAATGCGCCCTGAAGAAATATTTTTCCCTTTTCAAATAATTTTTTTTTTGCTATTTCACGTGGTGTCATAGTTTTTCATACAAATTTGTTTTTGGTTGTTACGAACTGATTTGATTTTAATTTTCCGCATAGCCTATTGTACATCGCCGCCATGCACATAACTAGAAATTGCCTCCATATTACCCCTTAATCAATAGCTGGGTGTAAGAAACAAAAAAAAAAGCGAAAGAATACCTACCTATATGATTTTTTACGCCATTGTTTACAAAATATTTTCATAAGCATGACAATCATCAAAATTATTTAATTATATGGATTTGAACTCTGACTTTAAAATTGGTTTTACATTAACTTTCAAAAACTAGTTTCCATTACGTGTTGTTTGTAATCGTATGATAAGCAAAAGAAAAAGAAACCAGATTCAAAATAGGTTATTTTTTAATTATGACTGCTTGAAAATGTAGGGTACTCATTTATGTCTACTCCAAAATAAGAGTTCAAATAAATAGTGAATTATTATTATGGGACAAAAAGGGGTCGGTGAACTATCCTGTACATGATAATAATATTATATAAAGTGTTTCACCAAGCATGCTCGACTATTTTTTTCTACAATTACATAGATGTTAAAAATCTGATTTTAGGACTTTTAAATATAGTTCGAAGCTATATTCTTAAATTCCCAAGGTTTTTTTGGTATTGCTCGAGGAACGTCCTATGGAGATAAAAACTTCTTTTGCAGATTGTGTCGATATAGGATACTCCTGAAGTAGTACTAAAAATCTTAATAATTTTTTTAATATGGTCTAACAAAAACTATTTAAAAAAAATCATAATTTGAATAAATTCATTATTAATGGGGTAACAAAATGGCGGGGGTGGGTGAGCACGCTCCATGAATCACCCCGTACCTGACCTACGCGCGAACATTGCGTTCAAGTGCACGAAACTCTTTGACCGAGACCTGTTGAGCAGGCCGCTGTGCGCGTACGACCAGAAGCCCACTTATAGCGTCCACGCGTCCATGTGCCGGTCACGCGATACAACACGATGGTGTAGAATATTTTTTTCCGCTCTTACAAACGGTTTGACATTCAGCCGCGGCGGACCTGCACGAGCGCGCGCTCAGACGAGAACGGAAATAAAACGTACGAAACGCGTATAATATAATTATTGTTGATACCATTAAAACCTAACTTATCGCGTGGGTACAGAATTTTTTTCCGGACGTTTCGTTCACGGTTTTTCACCCGCTCGAAACGTTTCGACGTCTCATTCCGCAGCCGCGTCACACGTCGGTCCAACAAGCATTCGGTTCGATACGTTGTATTATTGAATAATAATATCATTATGGTATAAGTGCCAGTTTTACGCGACTAATACCTCAGTAAATTCAAAAATATTATTGTTTTATAGTACTAAGTTTTGTGTCATTTGTTATTCCGTGCGTTGCGAGCAGGGTCCGTTGACCGTGACAGTTCACATCGTAAAATTCGTCTACAGGTAAACTTAATTTTATTTCTACATACTCGTACATCTTTTTTTGGATTTATTTTAATATAATAATACAATGTTGTGCCCTTTTTCTTTTCACGTCGTACCTAACTCGGTATAATATTGACGTTCTCGATTTTTGGCCGTCAAACAATATAATAATAATAATGATATTAATATTATATATTTTGTTGATTTATTCGTTTTGTAATTTAAGGTGATCAATAAATACGTCCAGCGGGCATGCCATACAATAAACAAAAGTTATCGATGTTTTTTTTTCATTTCTGACGTTCGATAAATGGCTTCAGATATAATACCATTAGAACACAACAATATCGAAAATGAAATGCGATTGCCGAGCAATAAACGTTTTAACGTATTTCATATGCCTCTCTTTTATACCAGGTAAATTATGAGTTAATGAAACACAATAATTATTTGTTTAAGTAGATAATAATTACATAGTTATATTAATTAGTTTAAACAAAGCAATTTTGTAGGCTTAAAGCGTGATTTATTTAATCATCGCAGGTCATAATAATTCTAACGTGTTGAAATATTTTTAAACTAATATTTAGGTTTACCTATATTCTATATATTTTATACTGTCCAATTTTTTGAAGTTCTTCATAAATTTCCATGCAAATTACCATATATTTTTATAATAAATATAATAAATATTACACATTATAATTTATAACATATATTTTATATTTTATTTACAATCATAATTAAGGAGTCTAATATTATCATTGGTTCATGGAGTTTAATAACCAAAAACCTACTCGTTCGAAATACGATTTATAGATGATATTTAAGTAGAACCATGTGTAAAAAAGGGGTAGTTCTAATTTGATATTAAATATAATGCTAATTAAATTATATGAATAAATCATAAGTATCTGAAAGTAGTAAAAACTCCAAAAATCAGATTATGCGAATAAATGTTAAAAATATAAATTGTTAAAAGATAAAAGAAGGACGACCATACGTCTTGATGAATCAATCTTTATGGGTACTAACAGGTGTACATATTTGATATTAATGTTAGACATCTAACAGTTTAATAAATAAATAAATCACTAGTCACGGTTATTTCTGGTCTTCAAGAAATACATAATATAAATGTTGGTTCACTTAAAAATCAATCTATCCATGTGCGACACGATAAGGAAGAATGATTACATTTTGAATGGCACAATTTATTTCAATTTTTACCCACAAAAATGTTTTACCGTTTTATGGTTTAGCACGAACATTACGGCGAGCGGCGTCTGGTTCCCGCGCTTATTGACTGTGGCACAGTGGCACAGTGCACACAAACGGTTACTATAATGTCAATATTTATAGTTTTTTGTGGGAAAATCATCAACAAACACGCTTTGTTAGTGTGTAGGATAATTTTATTACATTCAGGATGGGTTTAAATTATCAGTAAAATATAAGGAGAAATTGAATATGGCTCGGAAACGAAAACTAATTTTTCGATTTCGAGTGTAAAAAATATTTGATCGAAATATTGAGACATGCTATATCGTATAAAATTATAAATATCGATTTACAAAGCAATAATAATGTATATAAACGTTATATTAACGTTATATTATATGAAGTATATTTTAAATGTTGCCATTGTCTTCTTAACCATTTTTAGGTGGACAGGTGAAGGAATATAATAAAAAATTGTAGTAATGTTAAATAGTAACATTAGATTTTGCTATTGAAAAAAATAAGTAATTTTGTTGGATTAAGTATTTCAAGTTTCAAGTGTTTCAATAACTATACCATGTTATGACGTATTGTTTATAGATACGAGTATTATAGAATGATGACAAATTAACTTTTTTATTTCATTCACATTGTCACTATGCTTAAATGTAGGTTCCTATGTAACAAAATTAAAGTGAAAACCTACACGCCGAAATACATAAAATATTCAGTATTACCATGTAATCATCACAAAATATGTGAAATGTTTTTATTTTTTCTCGTAAAAAACAATTAGAATTTAGCTACCGCTTCTATGATTACTCGGCGAGAGTGCTAAATTCTCGATTTCCAGACGTATTTTAATACAACTCAATAAACTATAATTCCAAGTATAATTCAAACAGAATTTGCAGGTAACCCCAATATTTTGGTAGTATATTTTGATTTTTGGCTAGTATGAATCTATATTACTACAAGTATTTATCTATCAATAATCGTAAATAAATATCTCAATATCAACAATCGTAACTATACATTCCTAGACTGGTAACTATAACTGAAGGACGGACACAATATGGATATTAAGTATTCTAAACCTATGTTTAGAAGCGTACAACTTAAGAGGTAGTAACTAGTAGCTTCCTTGCGCCTTTGGCCAAATAACATTTTGCGAAGTATTTTTAACTATAATATTCTGCTTATAAGCACAAAGCACATAATAACATAAGAAACTCACGAGTTTTACACACACACGGCAATTATTTTTTCAAACCGTTCGTAAATATCGTATTACAATAAATTGTATTTATGCAAATGGTTCAATGAATAAACGTTTTACAATATATTTTTCCTTTGAGAAAACTGCAGTAAGTATTGTGTTTATCTGTGGCTATTGAACTATGAAAGGACTTAGGACACTTCTCTTGAACTGATATAATATTCTTCATTATCAGTAGAAAAGTGTTTCACAAGTACAAGATGACGAGGACGGTTGTATGCATTTAAGATAATACATAAAATCAACCAGTGAATCGATTTAATTAAACTAAATAAAAAATAACGATATTTACTTTGTTGCACAGATGTTGATATTTGTGAAAACAAATACTATGAATACAATATAATACGAATGACGACAATGAGATTTAAATTTAAAATGCACAATATCTGTGGTGGTACCTAAGTATACGATGCATGCGTCTACTTATCGACCGCAGTATTTGAATCGAGTGTAATATTTTTTCTTTCCCTCCGCGTCTGCATTTTAGGGGTACACACATTGGGTTGATGCAAATATACGGAGCAAAATGAATATCCCTTGTTCTATTACTACTATAAAAAACAACTGTTGCGGATATCTATGTAATTTACCTAAAGTACCTAGCTATATTATGTTACATATTATTATTATTATAGGTATGAACGTTTGTATTATTTACGGTGTTTAGGTCGACCTTGACCCAAAACGGGCATGCAACCGCGAGCGCAGGATACTATGGCTAATCGTTTACTTATAATAATAATAATATTATATATATATATATATATATATCATTATATATTATGCGCACTGAGACTTTATTTGTTTATAGAAATTATTATTATTATTCCTTATGATATAGTTATTTTGTATTTACGGTCTGAAGACAATTTTGAATTTTCTATTGTTTGAATAAAAATTAGTTCCCCGTCGACAACATTTTATTATTATTGCTATAGATATTATCACCCACGTAAAAAATAATACCTACAGGCTACAGCAGTTATATTGTACTACACTACTGTACTACTATTGTTTTACCTTCAACTATAACTATCCTAGTCGACGAGTTTATTATTTTCCGTTTCACAGACGACGATTAATAATGCAACGTTAAATAATAGATCTCACTTGAGTGTGTAAAGCGTGTAAAGTTAATGCTCACAATACAATACAACAATGGTAATTTAATATCGATCTGATTAGATAATAACTACAAATTATTTATTATTTATAACAAAACATTTTTTTAATTTTTATTTTCGAATTCAAATTATTATTGTTATACTAACTCTTCGAATTTACGCAACGTTTACTTAAACCATTGATTAAATCAATGCTTAAACGTACACAGTGGCAAATTGATCGTAGTTACACCACCACATAGATGAGTGATTTTTTAAGCACGCTTACCTCCGTTTTTTGATTTAATAGTAAAAGTACATTTATTAAAATTCTTATATTTAGAATTTTTAAGTACACCTAAGGAACATTTTTTTAAATTCCTGGTTTTTTTTTGTACCACTTGAGAAATGTATTAGCTGTGGCGATACAAACTTCTAATTTTAAAATGAGAATGCCCCTACTCACTAGAAATTATTTAGCGGATGATTTTCTTGAAAATGTTGATGTATTATTTAAATAAAAATTCTAATATGTGTAGTTTCTGAGTTATTAAAATGTTTATACTAAGGATAATAATCCTTAAAAATGGTTTTTTAACAATATAAACTATATGTGGATAATATTAGATGTATTATTTACTAGTTATTAGACTTGGTCCAGGACCACTTTTAAAAATTATTTATATTGTAATAATAGTAGTGATAAACATATTCAAATCATCTAGGCCCCCATATCTACTTAATTCATTACCATAGGCATATTATCCTTAGTACAAACAGTAATATACCTGTTAGATAAACTACTCTTTCAAATTTTAACTTAGACGCATCAAAATTCTCAAAAAGAAATACCTGCTGAATAGTTAAAAGTAAAAAGGGGGTTCCTACTTAAAAAACAGAAGTTTATTTTGTCACAAGATCATCCTTAAGTGGTACAAAAATATTTGAATAGTGTTTAAGAATATGCAAGTTTTTAAGTGTATTTAAAAATTCCACGAATTAAAATTTTAATGTGCGTATAATTTTAGCATAAAAATAGGGTGAGCAGTATGCTTAAAAACCCCCTTGAAGATACTAGATACTAAAAAGTAGATACCATAATATCATCTTGTACATGAACATGGATATCAGCATAATAAATAATAATAGCATCATGTCATCGGACCTACGTGGTACAGTTTACACGACCTTGCAATGTCGCAGTTGACGTAGCGCTTATGTATTCATTAACAATATATTGTAGGCAAAATAATATAAAATATCTAATAATTTGGGTGTTTGGTTTCATAATAGACAAAATGGCACAGAGACAGACTTAAAAAATCTAAACTTCAAAATATTATATTTATCCTTTGTCCGAACTATTCACGACTATGGCTCAATTATAATTGGAATACTTATTGGCTTGGATTAAAAAATAAAATCAAACTTATTCACCGGTTTTCGCGGGTACTAACTCTTAAGTCGAATAAATATGGTGGGTCAATTGTAGATCAGCTATATAGCAGCAAGTGAGTGTGGAGGCATTGAATAGCTTACTGCAAGAAAAAGATTTAATGATGTGAGTGTGTTGGCTTTGAAAATTACTTCCGTGTAACAAAGCTTTTGAATACCTCTGAATATTCCTCATGGCTTAATGCTCACGGTTATCACAAAAGCTTTTGCACTTCTACCTATCGACAAAAGTACAAGACTATAGATTTTCAGCTCCGATCACAGAACACAGAATGCTTACCTCAAATAATTTTGATTTCTTTTTTCTAGATAATTCGGCCAGGTTGAAATAATTTTAATAATATTTTTAATTGATA